CCAAGCTAACGTAAACTCCACAGATCTCTCGGCACAAATTGCAGTCGCACAGGGTAATGCCACCATCATGCCATGTGCACAGGGGTCAGAAATGCACATAATCACTCCAGCACACATGGTTCCACCCAATATAAAAAAGGATATTTTAGAGGGTAAGGATGTGAATCTCATGTCACTCCTCATAGCATCCCAAGACATAATCGACAATAAAACATACAACTATGGTGACTTGTCTGTGGTACTTAAAGCCAAATACCACAGGTTAGATATAAACTGTCCATCCCAGACTTTGTGCTAGCCTTCGATCTCTACAGAGATGTCATTTGCATAATTTCCCACAACTGCAGAGAGGAATTAGACCTATACATGCACAAGTTGGTAGACCTGGGAAACAAGTACGGTGGCACTACCTTCTACGACTATCACAAGTCTTTCTCGGCTAAAGTGGCGGTGACATTTGCTCAGTTTAATATCAGGATAAACTGGAGCCACATGGACACCAAATTATTCTGCCACCACTTTGCCGGGCCAGTGCCACCGGCTTGCGCTATTTGCTCATTCAATTCTCACACTACCAACTTGTGCCCCACAGAACCTAATTTACCCACCATTAGCTACAGTACACCGAGCACCACTACCCACAGTACACCGAGCAATTGGGGACCATTATGTTTTGACACTACGACACTCCAAAACTAAGAAAAACGGGACATCCCGACGAAATACCGATATACCCCACAGGTAACAAATGGTGCCCAGTAAAACTATTTGACAATCTATACCCATGCAATAAATAAAAGATAAGAACTCCCCACTACTAAATCAACATGGCAACCCACTGACAAAATCCAAATTCATGCTATACATACGAACTCTGTTTTCAAAAATATGGTATGACCCATCAGCATTTACTGGTCATTCTTTCTGGATAGATGCGGCTACTCCCGCATCTAGTCAGAATGTCCAAGCACACATCATTAAAAAACTGGGGCGTTGGAAATCGTCCACTTTCAACCAATACATTCCTCAAGCAGAAAGAGAAATGAGGAAAGCATTCATAGATGTAACTACCGTATATACCCGTGTATAAGTCGAGAAATTTTACCTGCAATCTTAATGTTATATTGCAGGCTCGACTTATACACGGGTGTGAGGGGGGATGGCCGCATCATAGTGGTGCTGATGGACCAGGCGGCCGCCTAGCTGGTCCAGCGGCATACTCACTTTTGTGCTTTCTGACAGTTCAGCTGTCAGAAAGCACGAACTGAAGGAGGGCAGCGGCGGCATAATCAGGGTAGCGAGAGGGAGGGAGGGGGACGGGACATTTTTGTCCGTGGGACTGGCGGGAGCACATAAAACCACTCTCCCGCCGGTCACTCTCTTTTACCCCTCCAGATGCGCCAGCCAAACGAGGGGATGTGAGCTGCGGCCAGCTCACATTATGTTAAGGGATGCTGGGATACATGACATCATATCCCAGAGGCCAAGTGTTGGAAATAGAGAAGGCTGGCCACTGGTGCACACTTGTTTAATTTATAAAAAAAAAAAGTGTTTCTAATATAGTGAGTTTGTGTCAGTTTGTATGTTTCTTTCAGTAAGGGTGTGTTTGTTTGTCAGTGAGTGTTTCTGTCAGTGAGTGTGTGTTTCTGTCAGTCAGTGAGTGTTTCTGTCAGTGAATGTGTGTGTGTCAGTGTGTTTGTGTGTTTCTGTCAGTGAATGTGTGTTTCTGTCAGTGAGTGTTTCTGTCAGTGAGTGTGTGTGTGTGTGTGTGTGTGTTTCTGTCAGTGAATGTGTGTGTTTGTCAGTGTGTGTATGTGTTTCTGTCAGTGAATGTGTGTGTGTGTTTCTGTCAGTGAATGTGTATGTTTCTGTCAGTGAGTGTTTCTGTCAGTGAGCGTGTGTGTGTTTGTTAGTGTGTGTGTGTTTCAGTGAGTGTATTTGTTTCAGTGAGTGTATGTGTGTGTTTCTGTCAGTGAATGTGTGTGTTTCTGTCAGTGAGTGTGTATGTGTATTTCTGTCAGTGAATGTGTGTGTTTGTCAGTGTGTGTATGTGTTTCTGTCAGTGAATGTGTGTGTGTGTTTCTGTCAGTGAATGTGTGTGTTTATGTCAGTGTGTGTTTCTGTCAGTGTGTGTATGTGTTTCTGTCAGTGAATGTGTGTGTGTGTGTTTCTGTCAGTGAATGTGTGTGTTTCTGTCAGTGAGTGTTTCTGTCAGTGAATGTGTGTGTTTCTGTCAGTGAGTGTTTCTGTCAGTGAGTGTTCTGTCAATGAGTGCATTTGTGTATGTGTCAGTGTGTGTATGAGCCAGTGAGTGCATGTGTGTGTATATATTAAAGGAACAGTATAGGGTCAGGAACACAAATGTATTCCTGGCCTTATAGTGTCGGGTCCCTGGCCCCCTCTTGCCCTCCTTGACACTGTTAAGGCGTACTATGCTGCCCTGCACACTATGGGCTTAAACACTGTCAGGGCAGCATGGTTCACCCTAGCAGTGCAGCTGTCAGAAAGCACGAACTGAAGGAGGGAGCAGACAAAACTATGATGCTCCCTCGCGGCTCCCACAATGCCCAGCATAGCCACATCATAGAGTAGTGTTTACTCTGTGATGTGTCCATGCTGGGAATTGTGGGTACCACAAGGGAGCATGATAGAGAGACATTTGTGTTATATTTCCAGTCTCTCACGTGCAGGTCAGCCTCGGGAGAAAGGGAATAGAGAGACACAAGGGGAGGGGGGAGAAAGAGACAGAGGGGAAAACAGAGGGGGAAGAGAGACACACAAAAGGGAGGGCAAGAGAGAGACACAGGGGGAGGGAAAAGGAGACAGAGGGGGAAGATAGAGACTGGGAAGAAAAGGGGAGAAATGGACACATAGGAGCAGTGAGGGGGAGAAAGAAACCTACCGGTACACCATATAAGAGAACTTGATTGACTATTTACTCTTGTTTGTTGTCAAATGATTAAGATTACATTAATAATAACAGAATAATATTTTCGGTAAATTCTTCTCTTCAGAAAAATACGTTTTGCAAAGAAAACGAGAGCTTCTTACACTGCTGCGCTTAAATTGAAAGTTATTGAACGTGCAAAGGAAGCCAATAATAGCGTAGCTGCAAGACAGTTTAGCATCAGCGAAAAACTCGTAAGAGATTGGAGAAAAAATGAGGCTAAATTGCAAGCCATGCCAAAGTTGAAGAAAGCATCACGTTTCAAAGCCACACCTTTTGATGGAATGGAAAAGGATTTGAATGACTGGATAATGGAATGTAGACAAAATGTATATGTTGTGACTCGCTCGAGCATTCGAATACGAGCACTTCAGATTGGAAAAGAAAAATATTTGGCGACTGAAGGTATGGCACAATTTAGAGCATCGTCTGGTTGGTGCACACAATTCATGAACGGATATGGATTGTGTCTTCGTCAGTGAACAAAGATCGCTCAGAAGCTGCCTAAAGAGCTGGACGAAAAGGTCATGTTATTCCACAAATTCATTATCAAACAGAGAAAAAAGAATGGTTTCGCTCTGAATAACATTTGTAATATGGCCTAAACTCCAATGACATTTGATATGCCTGGCAATCAAACTGTAGCAAGCATTGGAGAAAAAAACTGTACTTATAAAAACAACCGGTCATGAAAAGTCACATTTCACTGTTATAATGTCTTGCCTGGCAGATGGCACTAAACTGCGCCCGGTAATAATATTCAAGAGGAAAACAATACCAAAGAACTTAAAAATTCCGGCAGGAATAACTGTTCGTGTTCACCCTAAAGGCTGGATGGATGAGGAGGATACTAAGTTGTGGCTGCTCAATGTGTGGACCAAGCGACCAGGCGCAGCACTAAGAAAATGTCCGTCATTATTGGTGTGGGATATGTTCCATGCGCATATAACAGAGGATGTGAAGGACGAAGCAAAGAAAATGGCAACCACGTTAGCAGTGATTCCAGGCGGCCACACAGATGTATGTCTCAACAAGCCTTTCACGGACCGATGCAAAGTTAACGAAAGGAGGAAACTTGATGAAACCAGACATTGATCTGATAACGAAATGGGTAAAGGATGCTTGGGATTCAATATCACCAGAAATGATCAAGAAGTCGTTCCTGAAATGCGGAATTAGTAATGGATGGATCAGAGGACGAGGCCATCTATGAAGAGAAAGATGAATCGGCTTCATATACCAATTCAACAGATGACGACAGCAAAGACGACGTTTACGCTGATGGCATCACCGAAGAATAATGTTGTGATTTATTCGGACATTCTGACGATGACGTGACGAGTCAGAGTTTGAAGGATTTGTATAGGCCAAACAATGTTTGTGCTATTTTGGAGGGCATAAATAAAAATTCCCTGTAATCAGTTTAAGGAATTCGTTACAGTTAATACATTAAATGTTCATGATTGCTGATTTTTTTTAATCCAGTTTTTAGCTGACATGTTTGATTGTTCCAGGATCTTACCTAGGTAAAATCTGACAAAATTATAAAAAATCACAGAATTTCATAGCCCCAAGTTTTACCCTCGACTTAGTAACAAAGATAAAAGGATGAGACAGCGCTTAATTAACTTATAGGCAGCAACCTTAAAAGGGGATCCCTCAAACCCTTTAAAATAAGGTAAGTAAAAACAATAAAAACAATAAAAAGGCTGCGCCACAATAAATAATAAAAAGTCCAAAAACAGGTCCAAAAAAGAGAAAAGATCCCAATATTTATCCTTACAGATAGTCTTTGGTGGTGAGGTCTTCTACTGATGTGGTGGATCCAATTTACCAGAGCTAATATCCAGCTCTGGAGTAAAGCGCATACAGCGGTTTTTATCCCCACTTATGGGATATAAATGGGTTCCTCTCCGTCACTGGTGTCCAATTCTCGGAATAAAAGAGACAACCATGGGGGGGCGTGGCCTGACACGGAGCTGAATGGACGTGCACTGATTCAGCTCCCTGAACATCGAGGCGCATCCAACGCCATCGGAGGCCTGGAAGAAGTATGGGGAACCCCAAAAAACACACAAATGCTCAGGGGGCATCCAGCAAGACGCCTACCGTGAAATCCAGTACTTTTACGCGGTATTTCAAAGACGCGACGGCCCGCGAGGACGAGGCCGCAAATTCCAATATGGCGGCGGAATCGGCACCATCAAGCCCGGCACCATCAGAGGGCTCATGCGGTACCCTCACACAGGCAACAGATCCTGACATAAAAGATTTGCTGAGGAACCTGCCCTCCAAAGCAGACATGGCCAATATGATTGGCAGATTAGAAGCAGCTCTGCAATCTAAAATCGACGCCATGGGCACAGACATACAACAAGTAAGTCTTAAAGTTACAGACTTGGAAGAAGAAGAAAAGGATGTAATGCAGGCCCAGATTGTAAATAATGCCTCCACATTAGAATCACAAGCTATGACCTTATCCTCTATGCAGAGGCAGCTAGACGATTTAGACAATAGGAGCAGGAGAAATAATCTGAGAATAAGAGGCCTTCCTGAAACGCAAGGGGAAGATCTGATGGCTAATCTGAAAGAATTATTGAATCTTATACTGGGGGACCCTGTGGATAACCCAATATTAATGGATAGAGCTCACAGATCACTGCGCCCTAGAGGAGCAACAGCTGAAGCCCCAAGGGATGTAATCTGCAGGCTCCATTACTTCTCAGTGAAGGACACCATTCTCAGGGCCCTCAGAGAAACATCCCAACCTCTTATGTACCGCGAAAATCACATACAAATTTTTCCAGACCTATCGTGGTTCACGCTACAAGCGAGGCGAGCACTAAAACCAATCACAGAGCTATTACGCAATCGCAACATGAAATACAGGTGGGGATATCCATTCGCACTGATTGTTAACCACAAAGGAGTGATGCACTCCATAGCTTCACATCTGGATGTAAAACCATTCCTGAGAGCTCTGGAACTGCCAAACACCAACATCCCGGATTGGTATGCACCTCAACCAAACCAAGATTCTTCTATACTACCCCAAAGACAAAGATGGACTACCCCCGCCAAGAAAAGAAGGACCGACCAAAGACCCTTCTCCCCCAGGAGCAGAATGATGGGGAACCAAAGAGATGATCCTCGCTAGGCTCTACACCCCACACCTTCCGTCTGCAGCAACATGACTGACTGGTGGAGAGATGGTACTGGTACAATTATCTGGACATAGCCACAGTGACCAAGCATAGAGCTTTAAGGATACAACGTCACACGAGACTTTCGCGTTTACCAAGACCCTTGTATCACTGGGAACTTTAACTGGCACAAGCGACATATCCCTATCTCTGTTGACCGTAGATATGAGACCTCCAAGCCGCCCAAGATTTACACAGGAACAATGGACAAGATAAGGCGCAAGCCCACAACAAGGGTCGACAGGAAATATGCCTCCCGGGCTACACGTCTCTTGCACCCAGGACCAGGGACTTAGTGCTCGGGACTGACTGGAGCAGCCCAGTGGGGAGACAACTGAGTATAAGGTTGGATATTATAGAACATGGAGGAAAAAAAAAAAAAAAAAATCAATCCACTGTAGGCCTTGAGATCGTTGTTCCTAGTAGAATTTAATTTTGACACCGACACTACGGATAGAAGTACCAGTATAAAAATGCATTGTTGTTTAGCCAGAGACGGATAGCGTGGGGGATAGAAATAAGCAACAAAATGTGTTTAACCTCTCCCCTGGGTTCCCTTCTTCCTTCCCTTTCTATCTTCCCCATCTTTTCCCCCACCCTCCCTTCTATCCTCCCCCCTCATCCAGAGCCTCCTACAAATTATGCACAAAGAATAATAGGATTGCAAGCCTCGGGCTCTAGTCAAACACCACACCCGCATAGTCACTGTTCTGCCTCTTGCACGGGGACAGAATACGGAATACGAGAGAATAACTTCAAGTGTGTTATTTAGGCTTACCTATAGTAAGTCCTCTAGCTACAAGAGGACAAGTGTCTGAGGACCCCCGCGGATCCTCAGTAGTTCACTGTTTTGATATTATAATTTGATTTTCTGTTTATATTGTTGCTGTTACTGTATAACTGTTGATTAATAAGTGAAAAGCAAACCCCCAATAATTGGAGACAAGATGGCAGGTAGGGACACACAGACGGGGATTCCACAAACAAGACCCACTAACCCTCAAACTCACGCATCCAACACAGAACGACCATTGACCCTTCGTATACACTCCCAGAACGCCAAGGGGCTGAACACCCCAGAAAAAAGGTCACTCGTCCTCACAGATTTCCAGAGATATCACGCAGATATCGTTTTTATACAAGAAACACATTTTCACAAGAACCAGGCACCCTCACTTAGAAACCGCAAATACCCTACGGGTTATTACAGTCACTATTCTGCAGCTAAAGCAAGGGGAGTGGCGATTCTAATAGAGAGACAAGTTCCGTTCACCCTTACAGGACAACTAAATGATGACGCAGGCAGGTACATTTTCATTAAAGGAAAATTAGGCAACACCAACATCACGCTAGCAAACCTCTATCTACCTAATAAAAAACAAAGTGTGGCCCTAAGAAAAATACTCCACAAACTGTGGGACTTTAAGGAAGGTCTATTGGTAGTGGGGGGGGACCTGAACATCTCATTGGATGGCCAACTAGACACAACCGCAACATCTAGCGTATACCTAGAACCCACTCGTAGCAGAATACTCGATATCCTACATGAGACCAGATTGTACGATAGCTGGAGGGCAATGCATCCCACTGGTAGAGACTACTCATTCTACTCCACAACTTCCGGCACATATACTAGAATAGACATGTTGCTCTTGCCACATGCTTACCTCAATTTGATAAAATCAGTGTCATATGGTCCTATCACATGGTCAGACCATGCTCCACTGACCCTAGATATAACGATACCCTTACTAAATAGGGCCGCACCACAATGGAAACTGAACGATCTTCTCCTAAATAAAGAGGAGGTCATAGAACATATTAAAACAAGCGCACAGAGATACTTTGAAACCAATTCAAACCAGGACACTAGGCCAGAGGTGGTATGGGAAGCCCACAAATGCGTCCTTAGAGGAGAAATCATTAAAATAGCCTCAGCACAGAAAAAGCTTAGGGAGGCCAATATAACATCTTTAACTCGGGAAATAAGAAACCTAGAGCTCAATCACAGTAAGGACACTACGATACAAACTTACAACAATTTACTAGCTAAGAGGGCGGAACTCAAATCCATCCTCAACTTACAGGCCTCCAGATCTGTGCAGAGGACCAAACACACATATTTTACAAAAGGGGGCAAATGTGGGAAACTACTCGCGCAATCTCTACAACAACAAAGACAATCAACTTTCATATCACACATTAAGCAACCAGATGGCTCAGTGACACAATTAATGCCAAAAATCCTGTCAGCTTTCCACACCTATTACTCCTCCCTTTATAATATTAGGGACACGAGGCCCCCCATGGACAAGATAAAGGACTTTCTAGCCAGCCGAATAAACACTACTATCCCACGCAACTGGGCGGAATTTCTAGACAAACCCATCACTACTGCAGAATTCCATGATGTAGTGAAACAACTCCCACTAGGAAAGAGTCCTGGTCCAGATGGCTTTACAGGCAAATACTATAAGGTTACACAACAAACCCTAGCAGAACCCTTTGTGCGAGCATTTAACTCTACACAAGCCCTGAGTCAGGCACCGCAAGAGATGTTAAATGCCACCATAACACTACTGCCCAAATCAGGCAAAGATCTCACAAACTGTGGAAGCTATAGACCAATTTCCCTAATGAATGTAGATCTAAAACTTTTCACTAAAATTCTGGCCAACCGATTGAAACCGCTACTCCCTGACCTGATACACCAAGACCAAGCAGGGTTTGTGCCGGGGAGGGAGGCCAAAAACAATACAATGAAAATCCTCAACATAATGCATTGGGCAAAAGTCAACAAGATTCAGAGTGTACTGCTGGCTATTGATGCGGAAAAGGCATTTGATAGGGTGGATTGGTCCCTCATGACGGCCACAATGGAACATCTGGGCTTTGGGCCTAGGTGGCTGGATTGGTTGGGGAGACTATATTCCACACCAACTGCCCGAATACGCATCAATGGCCAGCTCTCAGAAACGATATATATTAGGAACGGGACCAGACAGGGATGTCCACTCTCCCCATTGATTTTTATCCTTGTGTTGGAACCATTCATTCAGGGAATACGAAATAACCCACTTATACACGGCATCACAATAGGAAATTTAGATTACAAAGTCTCTGCTTTTGCAGACGACTTGCTATTTACGATCTCTAAACCACTACACTCTATTCCGCATATCCTGGAGGAAATGAGTGCTTACAGTGATGTCTCGAACTTCCAAGCAAACCTCACAAAATGTGAGATCCTACCGCTGTACACAACCATAGATACAAATAAGTACATACAGGAAAATTTCAATTTTACATGGACAACGACATCCATAAAATATCTTGGAATTCACCTACCATTTCAACTAAAACATCTCTATGACTTAAACTACACACCACTACTAGAAGCCGTCTCCAAAGATTTTAAGGCTTGGAATAAGCCATCCTACGGATGGTTTTGTAGAATAAGCATCATAAAAATGATGATACTGCCACGCATCCTCTATACATTACAAACAGTCCCCATAAAGCTGCCAGGTAGTTTCTTCTCGGCAATCAGAGGGGCGTTAACATCCTTCATCTGGTCACAAGCCAAACCTAGATTACCACTGCGACTCTTAACTCAACCACGGGAGAAAGGGGGAATGGGCATTCCTGACATAGAACAATACTATAAAGCAGTGCACTTATCAAGGATATATGAGTGGACGAAAGAAAAACCCTCCCAACAGTGGGTAAACATAGAGAGGGAACAATGCCTAGCACCCCTTGAATCACTTCCATGGCACAAACCGAACACCGCACTAATCAAACATAAAAAACACCCACTCATCTTAGCTACACTACAGACCTGGTCAAAGGTAAATAACTCCACAAATATAGCACCATACCCATCACCACGATACCACATTACGCGTAACCCACTGATGCCATCAGGCATTACAGGTAGAACTTACGAGATTCACCGAGGGGCTGCAAACATAACTCTCCGGGACATGACCAAGGGTAATGCATTACTAACACTGCAAGATCTAACTCTCGGCCGACCTCCCACGAGCATGCAACAATTAAGTTATGCACAATTAAAACACTTCATGGGGAGCCAGAGGCTACTGCCAGGGGGAAACAGAGAATTGTCAACCTTTGAACAGCTATGTACAACACATCCGTTAAAAAAGAAATTGTTATCTACAATGTACAAATTAATGTTACACTCAGACAAAACAGATATTCCTGTTTTCGCCACTAAGTGGACGAGAGAAATGAATTTAGACATCTCAGGGGAGCAATGGAAACACATATTCACCAGAATCCACACTATATCCACTGCGACCTCCAACCAGGAAAGTAACTATAAACGCATAACCCGCTGGCACTACACGCCCTACAAACTAAGCAAAATGTTCCCAGGAACACAAAACATATGCTGGAGATGCGGGCAGGGGGAGGCTAATCTGACACATATCTGGTGGCAATGCACTACAATCAAAAAGTTCTGGACCCGCATACACAAACTCATACAGATAATCATGCACAAACAGATACCCTTCACACCGGAACACCTAATATTTATGATGCCTCTCCAAAATCTCACTAAAATGGAAAACTATTTAACATCCCAAATGCTCATGGCAGCAAACCATCTAATTCCTGTATACTGGAAACAGGAAAAGATACCTTCAATTAGGGAATGGACCAGCAGGGTAGAAAGTACTAGGCAGATGGAAGGTATAACACACGCACTATCCAAAAACTACATAACTTTCACGCAAACTTGGAAACCTTGGTCGATATACCTAGAAGGGGAGGATTGAGAAGTAGGAGTTAGACAGCAGCACAAATAATAGCACCAGATACGGGGGAATACTCAAAAAGTCATAAGTTCAGCTCTTTAAAAGCTAGAATAAGTAGCACAATTCACAAGTTGTATTTAGAAGTAGAAAAAAAACTGCA